GGGAGAAAGAGAGACAGAGAGACAGGGAGAAAGAGAGACAGAGAGGCAGAGAGGCAGAGAGACAGGGAGACAGGGAGGCAGAGAGACAGAGAGACAGAGAGGCAGAGAGACACAGAGAGGCAGAGAGACAGAGAGGCAGAGAGACAGAGAGACAGGGAGGCAGGGNCGCTGGAAAAGATAGGGGAGTTAGCGAGAGCGCCAAAAGTATTTATGCTGGTGTAAGAATGACAGCGGTTGCAACATATTATTTGCACCCTGATTATTCTCAACCGCTGTCATTCTTACACCAGCATAAATACTTTTGGCGCTCTCGCTAACTCCCCTATCTTTTCCAGCGGAGCCGAGGACCCGACCAGCACCTGCCAGACGACATTCCAATCAATACGGTTTAATCAGTTAATAAATACTACCTCAATAATTTGTATAAATTATGTGTAAATATGTAAGGCCAAACTGTACAGTGCAATCACGCTAATAAAGTGCAAACTGTTCACTAAACTGCTGAGTGACTTTATCTCTGCAAAGGGAAGTTGTCTCATAAAGTGCAAACTGTTAAGTGCTGAGTTACAAGGCCCGAAGCCGTCAGTCCACCGTGACAGTGAGGTTACCTTCGTCACACTCAGTAAGCGAGGCAAGTTAGAAAATGTGTTTGTTTAAACATTTCTAACTAGAGCAAACCCAGCTAGCGGGGAACGTTCTCACAACTTTGGCTAACGTTACCTACAGGCTCTAATAATGTTTTAAAGAAACTTTTTAATCTGATGTTCAAATAACCTTTTGAGGATGTTAATCATTTTTAAATAATGTTCATATAAGGTTTAAGGTTAACTAAGACATAACATTTTAACTGCAACATTCGGAGGATGTTTTGAGGATGTTATTAAGGCCTGAGATGACAGAAAGTTTTTTTATAAAACGTTCCTTTAATGTGATATGTTAACAAAGGTGGAACGTTTTGCCTTCAACATTCTAAGGATGTGTTTTGGACGTTGTTGGGTAACACATTAAAGATGTTCTTTATAAAACGTTCCCTCAATGTTACATGATAACAAATGAAGAACATTCTCCAAGCAACATTCTGAAAATGTTTTCAGGATGTTATTGAGGCCTGAGATGACAGAAAGTGTTTTATAAAATGTTCCTTTAATGTGAAGGTATAACAAAGGTGGAACGTTTTTGCATGCAACATTTGATTTTATTATTTAAGTCGGACCATCCTAAATTCTCAACCCAAACATTTTAAGAACGTTTTTAGGAACTAACCCTACCTCGCAGAAGACGGAGCTGAACGAAAAAAAAGCTTCTGCTGAAAAATGGAGAGAATAGAGGCATAATTTCTTAAGCAAGTTACAAAACATTTAAGAAAGTTTCACAAACGAGAAGAAGGTGTTTTAGCAACGTTATCCTACCTTTCAGAAAGAACATCTGGAACAAACATAAAACCTCCCGCGCAAAAACGTTAAAAGCATCTGCAGTTTTTTCTACATTATGGGCTTCTAAACTGCCTTGAAAATACAATAAAAAAGTGAATTAGATTGAATATGTTTACGAGAATAAGGGCAGGAATTCAGAGGGAAAGGAGCAATTTGAGCTCTGCTCTTAAAAAGGCTTTTTTAAATGTCATACGTCAAACGCGTCAATTACATAATCAACAGGTAAACATCTCGCCTCTTCTGACCGCGGGTATAGTTAGTAGTTGCGTCCCGTGAGCGGTTGTTTTATGGCTTATTTTATCGTAGTTTTACATTGTATCTCACCATTGGTGAATCATGTGCCGTATTGTCTGGCAGCGACAGAACTACCGCTGCAGGACATCGAATCCAAGTTCCCTCGACCGGAAAAGGAACCGAAGTAGCGTCGCGGGCTTCCTGGGTGCGTTGGCATCCACCTCCCTGCAGCACAACTCCACAGCTTACCGACCCGACAGCCGTATTACACTCTTCTTTTGACGCCTGCGAGCTCTCGTAATGTAGTAAGGGTTGGTCCGGTCTAGCATTCGTAGTATCATGTTCAACTTCTTCTTGTCTTCTGGCGAAACGTAGCATGGGATCCAGTTCTATTAATACGGGTACGACCGCCGCTCTCCCCTGT